CAAGGCGACAGTGGCACGCTCACTCTCTTGACGGACCTCCAACTCCCGCTGCTCCAGCAAGCGCAGCCGTGGATGCTCACGCAAGCAGTTGCCACCTACTGCCGCGCCGGTGTATGGTACGTCACACTTCTCATGCTCAGTGTCGCGGCGCTCGCGTGCGTCTACATGCTTGCGTCCCGCGGGCATTTCGAGGGCTTGAACATGCTCGAACTCTCGCGGGTCGGGGGCATCGTCTGGGTCGGCCGGCCACTCCTCTTTCTTCGGTCCATGACGGCGCTCTGCCTCCTCTCGACCGCGACGCTGGAGCTTCATACGTCTGGCTACCGCAGCTACTTTGCGGCTGTGCCCACGCCGTGGTATAAGATTGCGCTGGCGGCCGGCGAGGTCACGTGGCTTGTCTCGGTCGTCAACGACGTTGCGCTCATCGTGACGAAGGAGTACTCGATGTACTATACAACAGCCAACAGCCTTCTCGTGTGGCTCATTGTTGCGACTCTCGCGGGGGCGTCGCCCGTTGAAGCCACACTCGCGCTCTCACCGCACTGCCAGGTTGCGCAGTTGGATCTTCTTGTGACGTGTGCTGCCGGCGACCTAGTGATCGGCCAAGTGCGTCGCTTGCTGGCGCTCATTTGCATTGTCATTGGATGCAATATGGTGTGCTTTGGAGTTGTCCGATGCTGCATGCGCCGCCCGCAAAGCCGTGTGACGTCGCTCTTGCTCTCGAGTGGCGCGAAATACCTGTTCCTGCACGACGGCCGCCTCGTGGACGAGGTCTACTACTTGGATCGCGCGTCGGCGGCCATCGCCGGTCTTCTGACACTGCGCGTCGGACATGTCATGTATGCCCTCGACATAAAGCTCTGGCGACTCTTTCCGGTATCGCTGCCACGGACCCAGCACGAGTGCCCGCTCCGTGACGCTGCCTTGCCCCTTTGCAACCTAGAACGTGAGAGCTCGACACCAAACACTGTGCATTAGTAGATTATCTCGAAACCAAAGACTGTGCATTCAATGATATTTAACAATACATATTCAAATGTGTGTATTTGCTTGCGATAGCTTCGTTCTATCTTTGATTCCAAGCCTTCCGACGCCACATTCTGGCGCGATCACGACGTCGCCATGACGTGGCATGTCGAGAGACCGGCTCTCATAACTCTGTCTAATAGCA